TCCAGAAGAGGCTGCTTCATTAACTTGGACTCAGTTTTCAGACATGTTGCTAAGAGTATTTGTTCCTCAAAACCTTAGGGACGCATGGCATGCAGAGTTTGAGCATTTGCGCCAGGGTGCTATGACTGTCTCTGAGTATGTTGTCCATTACACTAGCTTGGCTAGACATGCCCCAGCCTTAGTTTCTATTTTTGTGAGAGGGTTTGCCAGTTTATTGAGGGGATTATTCCCAGCATTAGGTCTAGCATGGCTCATAAGTTGGAGATAGATATTTCTTATCAGCAGGTGGTGAGCATTGCTAGGAGGATTGAGGGTATGCATGCTAGGGAGAGAGAGGAGAGGGAGGCAAATAGGTCTCGAGAGTCGGGCCATTATTCTGGTGCCCGTGCCCCAGCAGCAGGTTGTCATGGTAGGGGTTATATGAGTCGCCCTCGTTTATTCAGCTCTTCCAGCAGCCAGTGGTATTCCAGCTCCTCCTAGGCCCCAGGAGCCTTATTATGCACCTCCAGTATCTAGTGCGCCTCCTACGCGGGGTGCTTTTAGTGGTCAGCCCAGCAGACCTGGCCTGAGTCAGTCATAGCTGCCACATCCTCCTAGAGCTTGTTTTAAGTGTGGTGAAACACGCCATATGGTGAGGGATTACCCCAAACTTAGGAGGGGTGCACCTCCACAGACTTCTCAGCCACAACGTGCCTCGTAGAGTTCTCAGACTATAGTTACAGCTCTAGTTGCTACCCCACCTACTCAGCCAGCTAGATGTGGTGGTCGGGGAGGTGGAGGTCGCCCTAGAGAAGGAGGCCAGAATAGATACTATGCTCTTCCTACCCGTACCGAGGCTGTTGCCTCCGATTTTGTCGTCACAGGTATTATACTGGTTTGTCATAGAGATGCATTGGTTGTATTCGATCCTGGCTCCACTTACTCTTATGTGTCTTCTTATTTTGCTCTGCACTTGGGTGTACCTCGGGATTCTTTGAGTTCCCCCGTTTATGTTTCTACTCCTGTGGGAGATTTTCTTATTGTGGACCGCGTTCATCGGTTGTGTTTGGTTGCTCTTAGTGGTTTTGAGACCAGAGCCGATTTATTGTTACTCAGCATGGCAGATTTGGATATTATCTTGGGCATGGACTGGTTGTCACCCCATTATGCTATTCTTGATTGTCACACCAAAACCGTGACGCTGGTTATGCCAAGTGTACCGCGTGTTCAGTGGAGGGGTTCTTTAGATCACACACCCAGTAGAGTTATTTCTTTCCTTAAGGCTCAGTGTATGGTTGAGAAGGGGTGTGATGTGTATCTAGCTTATGTGAGAGATGTCAGTATTGATACCCCTTCAATTGATTTAGTCCCAGTAGTATGGGATTTTCCTGATGTGTTTCCAGCTGATCTCTCGGGCATGCCGCCTGATAGAGATATTGATGTTGGCATTGATCTGTTGTCGGGCACTCAGCTCATTTCTATTCCTCCGTATCATATGGCTCCTCCTGAGTTGCAGGAATTGAAGGATCAATTATAGGAATTGCTTAATAAGGGTTTTATTCGGCCCAATGTATCACCTTGGGTGCTCCTGTTTTGTTTGTGAAGAAAAAGGATGGTTCTATGCATATGTGTATTGATTATCGCCAGTTGAATAAAGTTACAGTGAAGAACTGTTATCCTTTGCCTCATATTGATGATCTATTTGACTAGCTTCAGGGTGCACGAGTGTTTTCTAAGATTGATTTGCACTCAGGTTTCTATCAGTTGAAGATTCGGGAGCCAGATATCCGGAAGACTGCTTTCAGGACTCGGTACGATCATTACGAGTTCCTTGTTATGTCATTTGGGCTAATCAATGCCCCAACAACCTTTATGCATTTGATGCACAGTGTGTTCCGGCCATATCTTGAGTTGTTCGTCATTGTCTTTATTGATGATATTCCGGTGTATTCCGGGAGTCGGTAAGATCATGAGCTGCACCTGAGGACAGTGCTCCAGACTCTGAGGGAAAAGAAGTTATATGCTAAGTACTCGAAGTGTGAGTTTTGGTTGGATTCTGTGGCATTCTTAGGCCATGTGGTATCGAGTAAGGGTATTAGGTGGATCCGAAGAAAGTAGAGGTAGTGCAGAGTTGGCCCAGACTATCCTCTGCTATAGAGATCCGTAGTTTTCTTGGCTTGGCGGGTTACTACCATCATTTTGTGGAGGGGTTTTCATCGATTGCAGTCCCTATGACCAGGCTGACCCAAAAGGGTGTTCCATTCCAGTGGATGGAAGAGTGTGAGTTGAGCTTCCAAAAGCACAAGACAACGTTGACTACAACCCTAGTTTTGATATTGCCTTCAGGTTTGGGCTCTTATACGGTCTATTGTGATGCCTCGAGGATTGGCCTTAGAGCAGTATTAATGTAGGGTGGTAAGGTGATTGCCTACGCATCTAGACAGTTGAAGGTACGTGAGAAGAATTACCCTATCCATGATCTAGAGTTAGCTGCCATTTTTCACGCCCTTAAGATCTGGCGCCATTATTTGTACGGTGTTCCTTGCGAGATTTATACTGATCATTGGAGCTTGCAGCACTTGTTCAAGCAAAAGGATCTTAATTTGTGCTAGAGGAGGTGTTAGAGTTGCTAAAGGACTATGATATCACTATTTTGTATCACCGAAGCAAGGCCAATGTGGTGGCCGATGCCTTGAGCCACTAGGCAGAGAGTTTGGGGAGTTTGGCTTATTTACCAATATCGGAGAGACCTATGGCGATAGATGTTCAGGCCTTATCCAGCCAGTTTGTGATATTGGATCTTTCAGATCCCAGTCGGGTCCTAGCTTCTGTAGTTTCTCGGTCTTCCTTATTTGACTGTATCAAGGAGCGTCAGTATGATGACCCTCATTTGATTGTCCTCAAGGACAAAGTTCTACACGGAGATGCCAGAGATGTGACTATTGGTGATGATGGGGTATTGAGAATGCAGGGTCGGATTTTTGTACCCAATATTGATGGGCTTCGGGAGATGATTCTAGAGGAGGCCTATAGTTCGCGGTATTCCATTCATCTGGGTGCCGTGAAGATGTATCAGGATTTGAAACAACACTATTGGTGGAGGCGAATGAAGAAAGATATAGTTGGGTTTGTTGCTCGATGCCTCAACTGTCAGCAGGTGATGTATGAGCACCATAGATCGGGTGGGTTGCTTTAGCAGATAGAGATTCCAGAGTGGAAGTGGGAGCGGATCACCACAGACTTTGTAGTTGGGCTCCCACGGACTTTGAGAAAGTTCAATGCTATTTGGGTGATTGTGGATCAGCTGACCAAGTCCGCGCACTTCATTACTATGTGTACTATTTATTCTTCAGAGTTGTTAGCGGAGATTTATATCCGGGAGATTGTTCGTCTGCATGGTATTCTAGTTTCCATCATTTTCGATAGGGGCACTTAGTTTACATCGCGGTTCTGGAGGGCCATTCCATATGAGTTGGGTACTCGGGTGTAATTGAGCACATCATTTCTTCCTCAGACGGACGGACTGTCCGAGCGCGCTATTCAGATTCTTGAGTATATGCTCTGTGCGTGTGTAATTGAGTTTGGAGGGTCTTGGGATCAGTTCCTACCACTGAAGGAGTTTGCTTACAACAACAACTATCAGTCCAGCATTCAGATGGTACCATATAAGGCTTTGTATGGTAGGCGGTGTAGATCCTCGGTGGGTTGGTTTGAGCCGGGTGAGACTAGATTATTGGGTACAGACTTGGTTCAGGATGCTTTGGAGAAGGTTAAGGTGATTCAAGATAGAATCCACACAGCCCAGTCTAGACAGATGAATTACGCAGACCGAAAGTTTCGTGATGTTTCCTATATGGTTGGAGAGCGGGTTCTGCTTTGGGTTTCGCCTATGAAGGGTGTTACGAAATTTGGGAAGAAGGGGAAATTGAGTCCGAGGTTTATTGGTCCTTTTGAGATATTGAGACGTGTTGGGGAGGTTACTTATGAGCTTGCCTTACCTCCTAGCTTGGCAGGAGTTCATCGGGTATTTCATGTTTCGATGCTCCGGAGGTATCACGGTGATCCATCGCACGTGTTGGATTTCAGTGCAGTTCAGTTGGACAAGGTTCTATCTTATGTTGAGGAGCCAGTGGCAATATTGGATAGGCAGGTTCGAAAGCTGACGTCAAAGAACATTGCACCAGTAAAGGTTTAGTGGCGGGGTCAGCTGGTCGAGAAGGCGACCTAGGAGACCGAGCAGGATATGCGCAGCCGTTACCCTCATCTTTTCACTACTTCAAGTATATGTCTATGCTCGTTCGATGACGAACGAATGTTTAAATGTGCAATGATGTAACGACCCGGCCGATCATTTTAAGAATTTACGCCTCGATCCCCTATTAACTGCTTTCCCTATGTTTATTTTTGCTATTTTGGACTGTCTGGATGTTCGGTTTTGAGTTTCAGAGAGTTTTGGGACACTTAGTCCCGAAATGAGAGCTTAAGTTTTGGAAATTTGATCGTAGTCGGAACAGTTTGAAGACGGCCTCGGAATGGAATTCTGATGGTTTTGTAGCTCCGTTGGGTGATTTTGGGCTTAGGGGCGTGTTTGGATTGTGTTTTGGAGGTCCGTAGCTAATTTAGGCTTGGAATGCCGAAAGTCAAATTTTGAAATTTCCGGTTCGATAATTGGATTTTGATCTGAGGGACGAAATGGAATTCCAAAAATTGGAGTAGCTCCGTAGTGTTGAATGTGATGTGTGTGCAAAATTTCAGGTCATTCGAACTAGGGTTGATAGACTTTTTGATCGAAAGCGTAAATTGAGTATTTTGGAGTTCTTAGGCTTGAATTCATGGTTGATTTGTTGTTTCGATGTTGTTATAGGTGTTTTAAGGATTGGTATAAGTTTGGACAGTAGTATTGGACTTTGTTGTGCCTTTAGTGGAGGTCTCGGAGGCCTCGAGATGGTTTCGGAAGGTTGTCGGAAGAATTAGGAGTTGCTTGAGCAGCTTCAGCTGCTGATCTTCTGTCGTAACCGCACCTGCGGTTGGGTCCCGTAGGTGCGTAGCCACAGAAGCGGCAATATCTTCGCAGAAGCGAAAATGGGGAAAACCAGCATGAGCGGCAGAAGCAGGAGATTTACCGCATAAGCGGTACCTCATCTGTGCATGGGGAGCCACAGGTGCGGAAAAGCTGAGTTAGTGATTTGTCGCAGATGCGACCTTTGTTCTTCAAAAGAGGGACTGCAGGTGCGGTCCCATGAATGCAAAAGCGGATTAGCTGGGCAGAACATATAAATGCTTGCCTTCGCGAATTTGAGTCATTTTCACCTCTTTTCAAACGGGAAGAAGCCTTTGGGAGCATTTTCAAGGGAGATTTTCAGAGGAATTCATTGGGTTAAGGTCTTTGGTCCCTAAACTCATTATTGAGGTGATTTGTTATCATTATAAGCATGAAAATTTAAGGAAAATCAGTGGTAAGTTTGAGGGTTAGGGCTTGATTAATTAAAGACCTTTGAGTGATGATTTGAGGGACCATTTGAGGTTCGATTTTGTTACTTTTGGTAAGACTGAACTCGTGAGAGTGTGAGGATTCTGTAAATGTAAAATTTACCCGATTCCGAGATGTGGGCCCGAGGGGTGTTTTGGTCATTTTACCTAATTTTGCGTATTATCTTAGAATTTATTTGTAGAATCAGTTACTTGAAGTGTTGCTTACATTATGCATTTGAATTGAATAGATTTGGGGCATTTGGAGTCGAGTACTCGGGGCAAGAACGTGATTTCGGGTTGATTTTGAGCCGGTTCGAGGTAAGTGGCTTGCCTAAACTTGTGTGGGGGACATCTCCCTTAGAATTTTGTATTACTGATAATTGAAATACCTTGTACGTGAGGTGACGAGTGCGTACTTGTTCTAATTGGTGAAAATCCAATTTTCATTATAGTATGTTTCTTTTCATGTTTATACTACTTGCAAATTTAAGTCTGTTGTTAGCTTAGGAAAAACATGTCTAATTGACTTAATTGCCTTACTTGCTCAAACTTCCTTATCTTGATTTTGTGCAGTATGCTAGGTTAGAAGTACATGTCTTACCTTGGTATGGAACTTGAATTGAACCGTGTACTCTTCTTGTTGTTGCTGTGTATTTACTTTGGGACTACAGGATGGTATCCCGGGAGATCCCCCTGTATGTTTACTTTGGGACTACGGAATGGTATTCCGGGAGATCCCCCTGCAATTTACATTGGAACTACGGGACTGCACCATGTAGATTCCCCCTGTACGGAGTATTTATATTTGGGACTAGGGATCGGTATTCTGGGAGATCCCCTCGCATTATAAGATGGACTACGGGACGATATCCCGGGAGATCCACTGGATATTTATGTTTGGGACTACAGGACGGTATCCTGGGAGATCCCCGGTTGTTATCCTCGTACTGAGTTGTATCTCTTTCTGTGTTACTTTGCCTCTGTTGTAGTTGTTGTTATCTTGTATTTAATTCTTATTATTATCTTTCAACTGTACTACTTTATCGTATGTTGTCATACCTTATATTTTAATTAACCTCAGTTGGGCCCTGACCTTCCTCGTCACTGCCCGACCGAGGTTAGGCTTGGCACTTACTGAGTACCGCTGTAGTGTACTCATGCCCTTTCTGCGCATGTTTTTCATGTGCAGATCCAGGTACTTCCACTCAGACTTATCATGCTTGAGACGAGGCACTTGTAGAGACTCTGAGGTATGTCTGTCGCGTCCGCATACCGAAGAGACCCTTTCTACTCTCCCTTTTAAGTATTAGCCCTTCTGTATTTTCTTTCCTTTGTTAGCTATTCTGGAGTTAGATACTTGTAGACATTCAAAGGCTTGTGATCATAAGATTTCGGGTTTAAGGAAATGTATTTAGATTTCGAGAGTTGATATTGTGTATGCCGAGCGGCACTTTTAAAAACTATTTTCTTTCACTATTTTGTTATTATTATTTCTTCCACAAAATTTGTTTATTTTCCTTATTGTTAGGTTTACCTAGTCGTAGAGACTAGGTTCCATCACGATGGTTCATGGAGGGAAAACCGGGGTCATGACAAGAGCACTAGGTTGCTTAGGTCTCACGAGTTTATGGAGACGTCTGTACTTATCTTCGAGACACTACCAAACTATTAGGAAACTTCACTTTCTTGCATTCTTATCGTGCGGATTTGTTAATTTCGAAGTTTGAAACTTGACTCATCTATTCACTCAAAGATGATGAGGACACGTGCCACCAGATAAGGCGGACGACCACAAGTATCACCAGGTAGAGTCGCGAGAGGCCAAAGTCGCATTAGAGGTCGAGGTATGGCTCGTACAACATCTAGATTACCTCATACGGAAACACCAGTTGCTCTAGCTGAGGAGCAGATACGAGATATTATTGAGACACTAAGACCCGCTCAGGAACCAGCTATGCCCATTATGATCCCAGGCCTTCAGGAGGCTTTGGCCTAGATGTTGATGGTATGTACTAACCTTGTTCAGGTCGTTTCAGTTCCAGCCGAACTAGCCACTTCTCATGCCGGGGAGGTGCTCAAACTCATACATCCTGTACTTTAGAGTTGGTATCTCAGGGTCTATTGACACTAGGGGTACTACCAGCCAAGTAGGTTACTGCTGTTTGGGCCGAGATTGGCCCACCTATGAGTGATGAGGAGAAGAAGAAACTAGAGTGGTTTGGGAAGTTTAAGCCTCTAGAGTTCATCGGGGAGGAGTGAGAGAATGCCCCAAATTTCATAGACTGGTGTTAGTGAATTTTTCGCATAATGAGTATTTTGGAGATCAGTGGAGTTGCATTTACCACTTTTCAACTAACTAGTTAGCACAACGCCACTTTTATGGCATGAGTTCTCCATTATCGTTTTTGAGAAGTTTAGTCCCACAGACTTGTAGGGAGGAGTTGTGTAGAGATTTTGAGCAGCTACGCCAGGGAGATATGACTATGACCTAGTATGAGATGAGATTTGTAGAGTTGTCTTGTCATGCTATATGGTTGGTTTCCATGGAGATAGAGCGGATCTGGAGGTTCATTAATAGCCTCAACTATAGTCTACGATACAGTTTGGCCCGAGAGGCCAAGATGAATGCTAGGTTTGACCAGGTGGTCAAGATTGCTCGGTTGTTTGGAGTTTGTTCGTAGGCTTGAGCACGAGGAGTGGGTGGTGGGGGAAAGAGGCCCCATAGTTTTGGTGGTTTTAGTAGTATCTCATCTAGATCTCAGTCACATCACAACAGATGTCGTCCTTACAGGCCCGCTCAAATGGCTCATCTGGTTAATCATGGTATATCAGCTAGTCATGGTTCATACACTGCCCGTTCGAGTCAGTTATCTTCTAGTGCCCTCCCAGCTCAAAATTCATCCTGTGCTCCATCAGTTCAGGGTTTGTGAGTACCCGGTTCTTCCATTAGATATTCTAGTTCTTGGGGTTCAATGCAGGCCTACCACCATTTCTGACTCGAGGTTGTTATAATTGTGGGTAGTTGTGTCATGTGTGGAAGTATTGTCCCCGTCACTATAAAGGTCCAATACAATAGGGAGGCCAGTCTATGACCCCTGCACCAGTTGCTACACCACTCGCTCAACCAACTTAGGGTGGAGGTTGTATAGGTCGAGGTCGCCTCGAGAGGGAGATCAGATAGGTGGTGGTCAGGCTCGATGCTATGTTATTCCTGCCAGGCTAGAGGTAGTTGCTTCAGATGTAGTGATCACAGCTATTATTTCAGTGTGCAACAGGGATGCTTTCATATTATTTGATCCTGGTTCCACTTATTCATATGTATCATCGTACTTTTCTCACAATTTAGATATGTCCCATGATTTCTTAGTTACGTTTGTCCATGTATCCGCATCGTCGGGTGATTCTATTATTGTGGATTGTGTATATTGGTTGTGTGTGGTGACTATTGGAGGATTGGATATGAGAGTTGATCTTTTACATCTTAGTATTTTTGATTTTAATGTGATTCTAGGCGTGGATTGGTTGTCACCATGTCATGCTATTCTGAATTGTCACGCTAAGATCGTGATGTTGGTGATGGTGGGATTACCTAGGATTGAGTGGAGAGGTTCTCTAGACTATGTTCTCAGTAGAGTGATTCATATTTGAAGGCCCAACGGATGGTTGGGAAGGAATGTCTGCTATATTTGGCCTTTTTGAGGGACATTAGTGCCGATACTCCTACCATTGTGTTTATTCCTGTAGTGCGAGACTTTTTTGGATGTGTTTCCTGTAAACCTGTTGGGCATGCCACCTGATAGGAACATTGATTTTGGTATGGACTTGGTGATGGGCACCTAATCCATTTCCATTCATGTGTATCGTATGGCACCAACATAGTTGAAGGAATTGAATGAAAAGCTTCAGGAGCTTCTTGATAAGGGATTCATTAGGCTTAGTGTGTCACCTTGGGGTGCACCGTTCTGTTTGTGAAGAAGATGGATGGTATTATATGGATGTGCATCAATTATACATAAATGAACAAAGTTATAATTAAGAACCAGTACCCACTACTGTGCATTGATGACTTATTTGACTAGCTTTAGGGCTTTAGAGTATTCTCTAGGATTGATTTGAGGTCTGGGTATCACCAGTTGAAGATTCAGGATTTTGATATTCTGAAGAAGACATTCAGGACCCGTTATGGTCACTATGAGTTTCTTGTGATGTTTTTCGGGCTGACCAATGCCTCAGTAACATTTATACATCTGATGAATAGTGTATTCTAGCCATATGTTGATTCTTTTGTCATAGTAATGATTGATTGTATATTGGTGTACTCAGTCATCCAGGAGGATCATGATTAGCATCTGAGAATTGTACTACAGACGTCGAGGGAGAAGAAACATTATGCTAAATTCTCTAAGTGTGAGTTTTGGCTCGATTCTGTGGCATTCTTAGGGTATGTGGTGTCCAATAAGAGTATCAAGGTAGATCCTAAGAAGATTCAGGCATTTTAGATTTGGCCCAGACCGTCCTCAGCTATTAAGATACAGACTTTCTTATCTTGGTCGGACATTATTGTCATTTCATAGAGGGATTTTCGTCCATTGTTGCACCCTTGACTAGTTTGACCAAAAGGGTTCTCCATTCAGGTGTCCTGATGAGTGTGAGGAGAGCTTTCAGTAGAT